GACCCATCTACCCTGAAGCACCCCAGTTTGTGGCAGCTCGGCAAACCTCATGATGGAAGGCAGGAAGATCTCCTGCCCGACCGCCGTACCAGACAAATCTAATGGCAGCAGCCATGTCCCTCGTCAGGCAGCATCGTGCCTGCCACCTTTAGAAAGTGCCCAACACCTGACAGACACGTACCCAGCGGTGACGGCCTTGCGCGTGCCACCTCAGCCCAGCCAATAACGATTGTGGTAGGTTGGCAGTGACAGTTATACCCACCCTGTCAGAGAACGACGGAGAGAGGTAACAGATTTCTGCTATAAGGAGTTTAGCATCAAGGTGGGAGGGGGATTGATCTATGGTACGCGCGCTATCTCCACTCTTAGTCTTCATCTTCCTCCTTGCTTCTCCTACCAAGTACTAACTTAATCATCGGAGTGTTCCCGCCGGGTAACTCCCTCCGGAAATTCTCTTCTTCTCAGGTATCTTCCAGGAGTCACATGAGCGCCAGGTAAGAGTGACCGGATCGCGCTACATCAATTTCCTTTCCAATGCATCTAATTATTGTCCTCTTGTTTTGACTAAAGCATCAAAATTGACTTTGATCGTCTCTCATGGTGGTGGTTCTCATGTTATCTATCCTTCTTTTACCTTTACATGTCCATCTTTCTTCCTTGTAATCTATAATTCTATATTCTATATTGTGTCCTTCCACAAAATTCATTAACTTCCTTTGAAATATTTACAATTCTAGCCAGGTTTGAATCTTTATACATAAGTATTAATTCATAAATTAATGTTAATTCATTTCTTTGTATCCACATTTTACAAAAATAGAAGAGATATTTTTTTTTTCCAAATTCACCTTGTATACTTCATTCTCTCTTTATTCTATTCCACCTTTTTCTATTATTTTTGCCATTAGCAGTACAAACAAGGAGCATTCATTTTCTTGTGCTCCACAAGCTTTAGCTCAATATTCATTCCCTTATTCATAAGAAGCCTTCATGTGGATAGACTATGCTTGATAACAACCACAGAAATGCATGATTATTTTTTTATACTATTTCATCTTCCTCACAGGTTTTAGTGCCTTTAACAATTGTTCATTTTTTTTCACCAAAAAGTTAAAAAAAAAAAACGGTTGTTAATTTCCTGAGTTCTCTTGTCTACACAGTTTTGTAGAAAATTTAACACTAATTAAACTTGTTTTTGGTAGTGTGGAAGATATTCATTTGGTTATGGAATTCGTCATGGCGAATATACATATTTTTTAGGTTAGAGAAATACAGTTTGGGATACTCAAAAAATATTGATTTAGAATATTTTGATAAAAACATTTATTTTTCAAATCCCAAGATTTCAGAACACACCATACCGCCACATCATAGAACGTGAAAGTTTGGTGGTAAGTTTCAAAACCTATCATTTCAAACACACTACACCGCCACATCATAGAACATGAAAGTGCGATGAGTTCCAAAATTTTTCATTTCAAACACACCACAGTGGGCCTAGTAGCCTTCAACACATTGCATTTTTTGTAGCGGCTGTATGAAACACCCACTAAAATTGCCATTGGCAATTGGATCCCACCATAATGTATATATTCGTATTGATATATTGGTGTATGTATTGCTTTTTTGATACCAAATGCACACATCCAAGCATTCAGAGCTTAGGTTTTAGGGCTAAGTGTTCACGGTTTGGTTAACTGAACCTTGGGACCTTTTTTTGAACTGAATTGGTACCATTGGTTTTTGGGAAACCGGAAATTGAAATTGAATCGAAACCAATCGGTTAATCAATTGATTGGTTCAGTTCCTTGGTTTTTCGGTTTTATGAATTTATAATATATATTATAAATCAATATATAATTAGATAATATAAATAGTAGAAATATATATATTCATGGACGACCAACTTTTAACTATTAATAGAGCTTTACATCTATCTTTGTATGAAATGGCCTTACAAGTAAGTTCGTGCCCAATAAGCCGGTCTAACTAAGTTGTAACCAAGACCAAACAAGGAGAGCTCATCTAAAATCCAGTTGGGTTGTCAAGGCCGCCCCAGGCCCATGCCCAGGCCCATTTACCATACGTGTTTAAACAAGAATAGTGATACTTTGTGATGTGAAAAGTAAAAAACAAAAGATCTGTACAAAGATATTTGGTCACAAATTTCAGTTTCCAATTATTAAATATATCCACAGAGGCGGGTATATTGATAGCAACGGGAAATTAAATTCAAAATTGGGGCAAGAATTGTAGAAGCCCACTGGGGCTCTGGTTCCAAAACCCAATAGGAACACCACCGAAGGAAACTGAGATGGGATAAAAAGCCCATTGAGGCTCTAGGCTCTGGTTACAAGAGGAACTTTACTGAAGGAAACTGAGATGATGCTAAGAGATTACCCCAAAAAAAACCCTAAGAGGACACGTGCCAAGTCCTGATTGGTTCACTCTGGTTTTTTTATCATACCTTCGTACCAGGTCCGGTATGCTACAGGGAAGATTGAAATATCCTACATAATATAAAACGTACAAGAAATTAATGTATGGATCCGTGCAGTTTCCAGTTGACCATTCTACCATTTACCTACCACAAGACCATTAAAACCTAGAGTGGGGAAGTGGGTAAACTTTTAAATATTTTCTATGTTTCGTTTAAATAATTAGCCACGTCATCATTTTACCATAAATGGGCAAAATTCATGTTTGTTGATGTCCGTTTATGTCAAAACTGTCAATGCAACTGAGTGCATAGGTTTCTTGCAAGGGCAATTGTCATAAACATCATCTTGGTGTTTCTATAGACAAAGGAATTCCCACATGATGTAGCATGCTGGAGAGATAAAAAAGATGACATTTTTTTGAGTTGTCATATTCAAATTGTAGGAAAATTTCCATCATCATTTAAGCCTTATCCTACTTATATGGGTCAAGTACATAGGTGCTTAAATAATTTCTTATTTGTTTTGCTATTCGGTTCTTTGTTTAATGCCGTATCCATTTGTCAAATTATGGGTGCTTAAATCATTTCTTATTTACTTTGCCCCATGCCTTTTTGGTCTATTCCTGACTCTTCTAGCCCCTTTTAAGTTACAAAAACAAAAAGAAATATTTGAAAAATTATTATATCATTTAATTTAAATGCCTAATCAAAAGATGTTATTTCCAGGTATTGCTGGTTAGGTTCAAACACAAATGGATAAGAGAGAAGAAAAAACACCAAGATGCCAAACACCATCTTAGTTTAGTAATCTAGTTGGGATATCAGATGTGACTCCAATCTGAATGAATTTCCAACATTGGGTACAGGTATTTTGGGAGACATTTGTTTTGTAATCTAGTTGCACCCAAATGTACTCATAAAAGGAAAGAAAAAGAGGAAGAATAAGACAATCAAAGAACCAACTGAGAAAATGGAACTGACACTGTTCAGTCTGAATTGGTCCAAAACCCATTTTCTACAATCCTCTAGCCTTCCCCAAGCCACCACTTTGTAAGACCCCAATGATCAAAGGGAGTGATGTGAGGCTTCTTTGGTAGAGTAAAGGAGATATAAGCCAGGTAGGGCATACCAGGCCAGTAGCATTTGGGCCACAGGGAATTTCATACAATAAGCCTCTCTAGCCTTACCCAAGTTACCACTTTGTTAGACTCTAATGGTCATAGGAAGTGAGACTGAGGTAGGGCTTCTTTTTGTTTGGCTTTATTTGGTAGAAATGACGTAGGGAATACCAGTAGCATCTACTAGATGAAACAATATAGTGGGCCAAAATGAAGTAATAAGCATATATATAGAGTAATCCAATACCATTACCACCAACACTACAAGTACTAAGCTAATGTTGGTTATTATTATCTACGGATTATTTCATCTATGGCCTCCACACATTCAGAATAAGCCATCTGCCCTCCATTGCATGCATATATAGTGCAATCACCACCTTTATTTATGTAGATGGTGCTTCCTCTTGATTACAAATTATGGAGAGCATCTACCAAAGAAGCAACCAGAGCTACTATTAATTGGAGATTCAAACATTCAAAAAGTTTTTCACAAAAGCAGCTATTGGGCAGAAAGTTGCCACTTGGACAAAGGATGATGTGGGCCATGTGGCTTATACGTGGAGTCTTTTGGGCTATTATTTTCTCAGTCCCCAACACTTTCACCACTGGTAAGTAGTAAAATAAAACAAAAAAACAAAGTATGGAAATGAAATAATTTTAATAGAATACCTTAGAATGCAGAAAACAAATAATAATAATAATAATAATAAAAGGCACATGGTCCGAGAAAAGATAAAAAAAATGGAAACCCTTCCACGACTTGAACCTACGTTGGTCTCTTTGCTATGGTTTTAGTAGTGAAAGGAAGATAGACATCAACGACTACACACAGTTTTTTAACATGTAAATGCCACTTAACTGAAGTCTTCTACGGTCTCTGCAAAAATAGAAAGATGCTGTTGCTGCTTCTTGGCCCCTGATTCTGATGAGAGTGAAATATGAGAGAAAAGAAATATAGACTGAGAGAGAGGAAGAGAAATAAAGAAGAGGGAGTTTTTAAGTGTTGTTGCGTCTTGAGAGAGACGAGTCTGTCAATAACCCTTACAACTGTGGCACTGAAAAACATGGTGTTTCATAAAACATTTTAAAAAAAGAACAGGACTAGTAATGAAAAGGACTATCTTAATCAGAACCCTCTCTGACCCCTCTCTCTCTCTCTCCTACTTTGTACTGATGCATTTTTAAATTCAGCTTCTAACTTTAGGTCAGTACCCACTTTGAAATAGCTCTGAAAAAACCTAACAGCATAAATGAATGTCAAGATGAATGGAAAAAAAAATATGAGCTAATTAACTTAGTCGGTTTCGGTTACATTCATGTTCAGTTGATCTCCCTTGTAAAATTCATTAAAGAAACAGCAGTTTTAGAAGAAACCCACATCAGATATGAGTTTAAACTCATATAAGGATTGTTAGATTATTCAGAAGAACATTCACAAATGAAGGAAACGTTTGCATGAGAATTTTCTGTAATTATAACCAAAATACAAACAGTTCGATCACGAGAAAATTTTGACTGAAAAACAAAAAGCTAACCCACCGTGGCAGTCTCCTTTCCCTTCCTTGAAAAAATGAAAAAATAAACAAAACGAACACAACATTGCAGGTAATAAAAATCCCGTTAACCAACATTCAACGATAATTACAACACCCCACCTGGTACAGTAATAGAAGAAGTAGGTCTAGATAGAAATCTTGAGAGAGAGAGAGAGAGAGAGAAAGAAAGATCTATGCTTTGGATATTTTTGCTTGATGAGTTTTGTTATCATTCTCACCCTCACCTTCTGTTATTACTGAAGACATATAACTAATGACGAGAGAGTTTTCATCAGGAGGTGCGACTAACGTCGACGCTTGGAACTGTTGCTTGCAGGCGTGACAAGTGATTTGTAGAATGGTAGAGTTGATTTGCTTTGTCGCGTGTTCCTTCAGAATCTGAGCTTTGTCAAGTTCGGCTTGAGCTTGTTGCCTGATTCGCTTGGCGTTTGCGAACTCCTGCTCAGCCAATTCAATCTGCCGCTTCGCTTGTTGTCTCGCCTCTTCGGCAAAGGCCTTCTCTGCCATGGCCAACCGTAGCTGCTCCCTCGCCTGTTCTTTCAACCTAGAAGTTGCCAAAGCTGGTTCTTCAATGGCTTTCTTGTCTCTAGGAGAGACCCTACCTGCATTTTTGCTCGAACTGCCATTGTGTGATTCGATTTTCTCGCCATGATCGCATGATCCAATAGAAAGCTGCAGCTGGGTAGCCTGGTTTTCGTCTGAATTTGGGGAAACCGATACATCAAAGGTGTTCGAGAGAGGATTCGATGAAGGTAACAGCTGAAGTTCCAGATTGTGGCGTTGTTCTATGACTGAAGGATTATTCCGTTCCGGGCATAAGAAGACGGGTTCTGTCGGCTTTTGCATTCTCAATCCCGGCCAAGGAGCTGTACTGAAATTTGTGTCGCTTGATGGGCTCCGGCTTGAAGTTGTTCGAGACAGACAGGCTGATTGTAGTGTCTGCAACTCAGTTCTGAGACGCCCGGCATTGCAAGCGTCTTGGTGTTCAATGAAACTCTCCACTCTGAGAGAAAACAAACGAGTTAGACCGATCAGCTTATAATTTGATTAAATGAGTACTGTATTGGAGTTAAATCATTAATGACGACAACCAATGGAGACTGATCTTGGGAACAGTGGCTATAGGATTCTAGCGTCATTCAACTGTTCAAAATTTATCTAGGTCTTCTCCAATTTCGAAACTTGGATGCCTTTGATCATCAGTTCTGAATTGATTGGTTTTTGGATATAGGAAAGAAGAGAAAGGAGAGAAACCCAGGAAGGAATTTTGGTCGAGCAATACTTACTCTTGATTTGGGGTGTCGACGAAGGAAAGATTTGGAAAAACCCAACAGAAGAAATCAGTGAAGAAAGCAAGCAAGACTGTGTTTTAATGTGTTTGTAAGGGAGGAGGAGGAAACCCTAAGAAGAAAATCAATCGAACCCCTCTGCTTGGAACTGTCACACAGTCCTCCTTGTTGATGAATTTAATTAAACTAACATGAGAGAGAGAGAGAGAGAGAGAGAGAGAGAGAGAACCAAAGTAGATACCTCGAGAAGACACGGCCACAGTCACAGGAATGGCCTCTGGTGCCACAGGTTTTGAGATGAGCCTTGTAATCTGATTGAACAGCGTATCCTTTCGAGCACTTCTCGCACACCCATTGCTTGTGATTGCTGTGCTTCCTTCTAAAATGCTTCTTTATGCCGACGAGATCGCCCAGTGCGTGGCAAGGGTCATGGTGCAAGCAGCTGGGCTCTGGGCATACAAACACTCTCTTTCGAACCTCTGGTGTTTCCCTCTTGAGCAGCTTCCACGGCACCTTATGCCGACGTCGGTGCATCTGGAGGTTCTGGTCTCTCTGGAATCCCTGATTGCAGATCTCGCAGACATAGCGGTCTGACTCCAATAACGTCTTCGGTGATAGGGAAACCACCTCGGCGTCGGGATCTAATCTCAACATAAATGCAAAAGAATCATCAAACACCGAGACCCAAAAGACCCAATTCATCAATTGAAGCAAACGATCAATAAGAACCATAATTAAGATCGAAGGAAAAGAAAAACAACCCATATGTCTGAGGATCTCACCTGGAGTTCCGGCTGGCCTTCTTTTTCTCTTGTTGTTGTTATTTCCATTTTCTAAGCAAGTAAATGCCTCAGAAGATGGAAGACTAGGGGAGGAATTGCTGGCTAACATGGGAATTTCTTTTCTCACTTTTGTTTTGTGGTTATCTCCTCAAATATCCCACCAAAGAGATTCCTCGCTCACTTTCTTCTTTCTTCTATGCCGCTGTTGTTGATATTGGTGCTGTTTCTCTCTCAGGCTTTAAAGATACAATTACTGGTAATGGAAGAAGTGCAAGAGAGAGAGACAGAGAGAGATACAGCTAGAACATGAGGAAAGGAGCTCTCTTTCGGCTATCAGCTTTCTTTCAGCTTTAAGCTTTCAGCTTTTCTATCAGCTTTCTTTCCTTCATCCACTCCTCTCCTTCATCAGGTTTTGTAGTAGGGAGTCCACCTTAATAAACATCAGCACAAGAGAGAGAGAGAGAGAGAGAGAGAGAGAGAGCGAGCGAGAGAGAGAGAAGGGGTCTGACCCAATCACATTGCTCGAAACTTGAGCCCACACTCAGCATTGGGACAGAAAAAAACATCCCCACAAAGAAACAAACACTCATAATTCATCACACAGTAATTTGCATGCATAAATGCAGGCCAGACCCTAAATACACGTGAGCTACCCCTCCTCTTTATTTTTCTTGCTTGCTGTTTGGACAATTAAATCTTTTTTTCTCTTCGGTTTACAGTTTAGTTTCATTGACCAAAGTACCCCTTGTTGATCACTGTATAGTAACCCTGATTAATTTGATAGGGTGCAGCTTTTTATAAAGTTGAAACTGAAGACGTTTAGTCCTTTTCAGGGCTGTTTTGGTCATTTCCACTGCTTTTAATGCTCATCTCCTATAAATTGATAAAAATCCCATTTCCTGTTCCAATCTATTATATATAGGCTCCACCTGTATTTATGCTTAATAGTAGCATAAATATATAATTCTTTTCTACTCAACAAAAAAAAGCCAAAATAGTAGTGTAAAAACCATGAAACTGAGAAAAAAAATAGTTTGATATTCTGGTGTACTTGATACCATTTTCTTCAGTAAATCAGTGACATCCGATTTGATGAACGAATCCAACAAAGACCATTCATCCATGAGATGGGTGATAGTCCTTTGCATGATCAATGGTAAAGGGTTGCAGTATAGTATCATTTCCATTTGATAAAAGGAATCTGGGAAAAGACCTCCGACACCAAAAAAATGTGGCCTCTTGTTTGGTGGCTGCCGGGTTCAAAAAAGAGGTGGACCCATACAAAACTCATACCATAATTTCTCCACCTCATCACCTCCCTCCCCAGTCCCCATAAATTAATTTAAACCAAAGCCCACCAGTGTAGGATAAAAAAGAACAAAAAGCCCAGAAGCAGAGAGGCCTTAATGGATGATAATTAATGTAACAGATCAAAATGCCAAAAGTTTAATTTAATAATAATTAAGAACAAAAGGAGAAAGGTAGCAAAGGTCAGTTTGTTTGTTTTGTTAATTAAAATAATCAGAAGGAAGCAAGAGAAAGCAGCTTCCTTTGTTTTGTTTATTGTGTTGGAAGGAATGGGGAGATGATGGGAGTTGGGAGTTGATTCCCAACACATGTAGCATCAGAAGAGACTGTCTTTGGCAATTATCCTTCCCAAGTGTTCTCGATCCCGAATCTAATCATCCCTTATTAAATTAAAGCAAAAATCACAATAAACTAAGCAGAACCTGTCCAAACAAGATCTACAATCTCTCTCTCTCACATACAAGACATGAGTTTTTTTTTTTTTCATATATATATATGTATATACTTGTAGCTTTATATAATAGATGCAAATGGGTTGCCCATGAATGGAACCAAAGGCATCAACAAGTAGTACATCCTGTCTTTTTCTCAAAAGTACTTTATTTTGTTTAATTGAATTGAATTAAAAAAAAAGAAATTAAACTTATACAGTGTTCTTGGGGATGTGTTGAGATGGGTGTGTACTCTGTAGCCTGTTGAGGGTATATACTACGCACGCCAAGTATAATATCAAATCAGAGGAATAGAGAGAAAGAGATAACGAGATATGAATGTTGGGTGCTAAGGGTATCTGTGTCGCTCAATAATTTCATTATGGGTAGTAGAGATAATGGCCCTGCTATCACACTGCCACCTGATGCTTTTGTCTGGTTTATATTTGTTCGTATTCTTAGTACTGAATGAGAGTTAGTATGTATGAATTGAAGTCGGTTAACCCTGGAATCCTTTGAAACAACAGTATAAACGGGAGCTAGCTCTCTCTCTCTGTGAAAGAAAGAAGAAGAGATGTTTGTTGGTTTTAGGATTTTTTTTATGGGTCTTATTTCCTTTAGTTTTTGTTGTGTTTTCAAAGTAAGAAGGGAAAAGGAGAAGCTGACAATAGGTGTGATGGGTGGTGTCGGAGTCTGAAAAGCCAACGTTCCTTCCCTTAGGAAAAACAAAAATTAAAAACAAAAAAATCAGAGAAAAATAAAAAGAAGAGAAATATATAGATAGATAGGGTGAGAAGCTAAGTAGATATCCAGACCAGACGTCCTGACCAGACAGTAAGTACGTTTCAACTCCTCACAGTGACATAAATACCCATTTCCGGAAACCCATTTCAACTGCACACTACCCATTCTCTCTCTCTTTCTCTCTAGAAATAAATAAATTTTCTAGACGGGTCAGCTGGGCTTCTTTTTCTACACTGATGAGTTATCCTATTCTGTCCACTGCACTAATGACGTGGCCAAGGGCAAAGCCAAGTACACTGATATCAGTTTCATACACCAGCATTTTGTTGGAGTTTTCCCCCAAATGATAAGCTTCAATTTCCAAGCTTAAGGACATAATCTAGCCACGTGGCATGATGATACAAGAAAGGCTGAAAGAAGAGTACGTGGAGTCCCCTGCTACTGCCAACTAAGCTACCAAAGCCTCTACTGCCCGTCTAGAGAGAGAGAGAGCCGTGCAGTCAGTCAGGACTCAGGACTCAGGACTCGGGAGTCAGGAGCGGGACCTCCCTTGTTTCTATAGATAGGTCCTACTGCACCAGTCACGCTCGCTACTTTCCTCTTTAATCTTTCAGATGGAGCGCAAAGGAAGAAAGGCCAAAATGTCCTCGAAAGGGAAGTAAGAAACCAGCACGAAGCGGGATAAAAGCAGGATCCGAAATCAAAGAATTTCTTTCTTTTTTCTTGGAACTACATTACAAAAAAAACCCATAAATGCAGTGGGCGAAACAGTAGCTGACATGCAAAATATGTAATATTACTGGTAGAAGAAGAAAACCCAAAATCACTCAAGAGTAATCCAAAAATTTGCACTAGCCGTAGTGTTGTAGTCACTGTCTTCCTCGTTTCCTACCACTTTCCATCATCGTCTCGTTATATAACAGTGCTGAGGACTGAGGGGAGTTACAGAGACAGAAGCAGAGAACTATTTGTCGAGAGAGATGTATATGGAAACAGAAAATAGAAGAAAAAACAAGTGTTTCGAAATTTCCTACTTCTTTCGGTTATCGTCTCTTTGTAAAAGGAAGTACAAAAATTGAAAGAGAGTTGTTTGTCCTTGGAGGAGAGAAAGAAAACGTGTTAATTAATTGGATGCTTAATTTGGTTACTTGAAACACTTAGCTTCATTCTTCATGTCAAAGATGTTTCCATCTCTGATGACTTATCATCGTACATTGTCAAATCCATTACATGAATACACTGATGTGTGCAGAATTACTCAAGATTTTATGATGGGGTGAGGAAAAAAAATGATCATCTCAGAAGTTGGATCTGGAATGAACTTTGAATGCTCATGACTGTGAGTGAATTTGGAATTATCGTCACATCATCCACTTATGTTCTTAGTAGGTGTAAAGACTCCCCAATCCTCATCCATGTATATATCCATTTAACTGCTGAAGCCCCACAAATGAGGTTTCATCTTTTAATAATAAAGTAACTCCAAAAGTAAGGTTTATTTTGGACTCAAATTTACCTCCCCCCCTCTCTACTGAGGAACATTTTGAGCCCCAAACCAATTTGCGGCATGGAAGATTCCTTGATGTTTCAGAACATTTATTTTAAAATTTGTACTGGTACAATCTTCACATACTTTGAAGAGGAACAAAATTCAGTACTGTACAGACAGGAAATGGCAGGTTGGTGAACCCCACGATGAACTTGAAATTTGAATTATTTAAACATGATACTATAATACACATGATTAGTTTTGTTTATTTGTTCACAAAGGAATAACTAAATTGTGATAAAGAAACAAAAATGTCCTGGTGTCCAAACCTTTTTCTTAATTGTAGAATTGTTTAGTACTGGTAATAGGCTGTTTAGATTAGATACCTTCTTAGTTTCATATTCATGTGGTGAAGCAACAACTCTTAATTCTGTCTTTGCTTTTGCTAAACCACAAAATAAAGAGTGTCGATATATATGCAAATATAGTTTCTAGTCCTGTTTGTTATTAATTGCACCTTGAGATTCAATAACTTCTCCTTGATTAGGAAGCGCCCTTACTCTTAATTACAATGCAACAAAATAGTTCATACAAAGAGAGTTGACTTTGCATGTATGACAATCAATGATCGTTACAGTTTTGGATGATAATGGTTATTTTTCTATTTTTCCTTTTTTTTCATTAATTTTCTATTTCCTCAAGAATCTGATTGCAAGCCAACAAGCCCAAAAAATAAATAAAAAATCCACAAAATACAGAAGATGAAATGGGGCAAGACTGATGAACAGATGTCTTACATCCCAAGAAATCCTTTCCAAGAAAATGGGGTCCAAGGGTTTTGTAACTGAAATGTGAAATTTGATATTTAATTTAAACTTAACTCTATGTTAAACTAGCTTCTGCACTAGCGTTGTTATTTTTGAAAGAAAGTGAAATTTCATAGGGGTTCATGCTCCAATGTGTAGGAAGAAATCATCAAATCACATTAAATTTTATATTTTCTGTATATATTTGTGATTCACATTCACTTGCATGATTTCTTTTCTTTTTTTTTTTTACATCAGAATTGGTATTATCAATGAAATTTGATGAGAAAAGAAGTTTCAGTTTATGACAAAGAAGCGCAAAAGACATATTGGTATATTGAAAGAGAAGAAGCTTGATGAGATGAAGGACAATGATTGGGAAAAACTTGGGATGAAAGTTTTGGGGTACTATTTATTTGAATCTTGAGGATGAAGCTATCTATAACATGGTGGGTGAAGAATTGGCCCCTTGTGAAAGAAACTGGAGGTATGGCAAACGTATTAATGAATAGACCTGTTTATGGGCTGGATAATACGATTGGCTGGCCCAGTCGGGCCTGTTCTAAATCGGGTTTGGACAAAATTCGCAGGTTCAGGCTCGGGTTTTACCAAATAAGTCTGGCCCGATAATATTATATATAATAAAAAATATAATATATATTATATA